CTCCTCTCTTTCTACAGAAATTGTAGTTTGGGATCATGGACAAAATTACAGAAAACTTAGTCTTTCTTGCCATCTATTCATCATCCAAATTTTTGCAGCCCAGATACATTATAAAATGTTTATAAGAGAAATTCTTATATTGGGATTAGGAGGGATAGAATACCTGGGTGATTATTTGTCATAGGATGGAAGTTGCTGTTGGATAGGCAATTTTATGGATAGATGTATGTAGATCAGTCACTTAATACAAATTATTAAACACAGATTAGGCCATCAGTAAAGTAGCAGAATGACAGCACTAAAATTACTAATAGAAGCGACTGTGTGTAGCTCCGGGTTGAACTGTGGAGTCCTTGATGTTCTCTGAGCTTGGTTGTTTTCTTGCAGATGTTTCGTTACCCGACTAGGTAACATATTAAATGCACTGAAGTGTTTAGTACATGGATGCCCTGAAGATGTTACCCAGTTGGGTAACGAAACATTTGCAAGAAAGCAACCAAGCTCAGAGAACATGAAGGACTCCATTAAAATTACTTCCTGCTAGCGAGTGATTCTCACCCTAGTATCACTATTTAGAACTGAATAGCAGGAAATTCACAACAACAACAAAGAAATACTACTTCACTTGGTGCATAGCTAAACTGTGCAATTTTCCCACTGAAAATATAGTGATGGTGGCCACCATCTTGGATGGCTGTAAAGGAGGATTAGAAAATCATAGAGATTAAACCTATTAATGAGTACTAGTCATAACTGGCTATATATTATCTCAAGATGTAAAGGTCATGTGCCATTCAGTATCAATTGCAGGGAACCAGAAAGGTGTTATTGCTCTTAATTTCTGCTTGTGGGCTGTTGGTTGGCCGCTGTCAGAAAAGAAGACTGGACTAGACAAAGTTTGATTTAGGCTAACTTATGTTTTTATAAATAATATGGGTTTTATCATGTCTGAATCCCACAGTCAACAACCAATAGGCCAAAGAACTGCAAATGTCTGTGGAGAATAGCAGTTTATGTCCATGAAGTTATGAGGAGTCAAACTCAATGCAAAGGAGACTTTACTATTATTATATTATCACAGGGAATTTTCAAACTTCATCATGCAGACATAGGCGCTCTCAGAAGTCTAGAGAGGTTCCAGCCATTTCCAGCTTTTAAGGTTCCTACCTGTAACCAAAAGAAGAGTAAGACTAATTTGAACATTTTTTAAAAATTACAGTAGTTGGGGTCCAAAACTGAGCCCTTCTTTAAAGCCCAGGCTGGATGACCATCCTGCCAAAGTTCACTTTAATTCCTTCTGTTGAGAAAGGGGCACTGAAATTGAATGTAGCTTTTCAGGACTCACAAGGGTCTCTGGCAACTGAAACTGGAGAAAAAAAAATCATACAATGAATTAAAGTGGTATTAAGTTGCCCTTGCATTCCCATATAATACCACTGTCATTTTAGAGCTTGCTTTCCAATATAAATAAGGCGACAAATTAAAGCCATGTGCTTATTGATGAAGGCTGGCATACATCTAGTTCAACATTATACTTTAAACATGTGACTCATTAATTCAAAGCCTTTCCTAGTCTATCTAGCCTTGAAACACATTTATAGCACCTTTGTTTTCATAGACACTAAATCTCATAGCTGGTCATTTAAAAACATGGAATTTACTGTTCACCTGATTCTATTTCTGTCTTCAAGCAGAAACAAAGGAACCGGCAGGAAGCAGTTTGAAAGCCAACTTCTGTGTTTATGTTCCATCAGTTCAAGGACATTTAATCATCAGAAGGACAGAAATTAAGAGCCTCCCCCTCCACACCCTCACTGCTCCCTCTTCCACGTATGCATGCTTTGCTCTTCTGATACACACGGAATTCTTTTCTTTTCTTTTCTTTTTGTGACGTTGCAAGGGAAGTCAGGGAGACAAAGTTTACCCTTTGAAAAGCAAATGGTCCCTTTTAATGGTCTTGTTGATACTTTGATCACTATCTTGCTTATGTACATCCTGCCTGTCAGAGAGGCATACAGTAAACAGGGACAAGTGGGTAGGTGGGGGAACATTTTATCACTGTTTACCCCAAATAAGAATCTCTTTGGGGAGGCATTACCTGTGAAGGAGGCTCAGGTCCAATAAATGAAGCACAGCAGCAGAGCTTTGTCCAGACCCTTCAAGCAAGGATAAGAGATGATACAGATTGGGCTGAAGTATATCAACCCCATGGAGGGGCCCAGAACAGATTTAACTTCTGAAAAAACACACAGGAAAGTAGAGAGCAGTTTTAGAATGGATATCCTCAAGGACAGCCACTTGGGCATCACACAAGGTAAAGAATGGTCACTTTAAATGGTCACTTTCAAGGAGCAAATATTAAAACAACCTAGCAGAGTCAAGTGAGGAGGTAGAGGGGGGCAGATAATTCATCCAGGTCTCATCTGTCTGTACCGGTTTGTCAAAGAGTGGCTTGAGAGCCTGACGGGCAGACTCTTCACTTAGACTGAGCTATTACATGGCAAGTAATGAATGGAAATGACACATTAGATTCTGCTTACTGCAGTTTTCTGGGTTGACTGAGGGAGACTCAGGTTTTATCTGTTTTAAGGGCTGCTGAGGCAACAGATGTAGGTCTGCTATACCTGCATAGATGCTGGGAAGCTGTGGTCAAGATGTGACTTACTTCTCCCAAACGTTGTGCCATGAATGAAGCACCTCAGAATGTCCTGTAACTTTAGAAAGGGCCAGTGACTCAGAGGACAATGCTGGCTTCCGGGAACACACGTATACACACATGACTAGAGTGGGCAAAGAAGTGAATATGTTACATTTTTTATGCATTAGTACACTTGCAGTGCATTTGTCAATCATTTTGTGTGTGTATGTGCAAATGAAGTACTAACAAGGTGTGGAATAGCCCCAGCAAAAAAACTCTTTTTTTAACCTTATATCGTTGTACTGACAAATAAGAACTGTAAAACATGTTATGGTTTTGGAAAGGGTCTAAAGAAATGTTGTTTGATAAATAATGTAGATGATGGATATGTCTGTAGATAGTTGGAAGAAGAAAGACGTAACTAGTTCCAATACTGATGGTCATACACTGGGCTTAATATACTGGGCTGCACTATATTTTTTCTCTACCGCTGAATTCAGATGAAATGGAGCCACACTATTTGTGGTCCAATATTATTCATACTTTTTTTCTTGCCACAAGCAAGAGAATTGTTACAGTATTTGGGGTAGCAAGAACAGAATGATCCTGTAGTAAATCTGCATTTGGAAAAAATGTATTTCTCCCATTCTTTCCTTACAGCTGTGACAACTTTCTTTGTTAGAAGCAAAAGAAATATGGTAAATAATCTATCTGGCTTCCAAATCAGAATGATACTTGGCATTAAGTGCTAACATTGTTTTGAATATAACTTCCATTAAACTTTCTATTTTTAACATCAGGCACATCAGTGGGTGAATGGCCACAGTTAACCCAGTATATACTGTTGCCAGTATTTTGGGAATGTCATGTCTCTTCTGCCTAAATGTTTACTCACCATCCCTTATGTTATTATATGGAAATCCCCACTTCCAAGTGGGGACAACCTTCAGGAGTGTCAGTAGGGGCTTAGCTAGGGCCCATTTTCCTTTACTAGAAACTGATGGTGTTTCTTTGAGATGAGCTCATTATTATTTCATTTTATATCCAGCCGTTCTGACCACTGAGTTCAACATATATGCAGGCTTAGTATAATAGAAAAGTTCCCAGAGTTAACTAATCATCTAATGCCTGCTCCCCATCAGTGTTTTTGAGCAACATAATATTGTTGGGATTTCCTGGCATAACAAATTCGCTCCCCCCCCACAACAATCATTCCCAAGGTACTAAATGCAGCCTAGGCCTCCCCACTTTGCCCTCACTATCCACAGAACCCAAGCCTGTTTAGCATTATGTTGAGCTCATAGGGAGCACCTTCAGCCAATCTCTATTCTCCATGAAGCCAAAAAGTCTTGGTGCTCTTCTGGCAAACCCTAAGGAATGTGTTATCTCAGCAAGTCCTGATAGTGTAGCAGGCCAGTAATATGGCATCTGAAGGCTTTTCTCCAAATCTGGGATGAATCAAATGGAACAGGAAGATGAAGGGTGTAGCAGCCAGTCTGTTTAACACAGAATGGTCTCATTGGAACGTGAGTTTCTTCTGCTGCAGATACATTGGAGGGGGGGTGGGGAAAAACTAGTTTTCAAGGGCAAGATGACAACAGCAAGTATTTGGGGTAGCATGAACAGAATGATCCTGTAGTAAATCTGGATTTGGAAAAAATGTATTTCTATGGTAAAATGTTATTTACCATATTTCTTTTGCTTCTAACAAAGAAAGTTGTCACAGCTGTAAGGAAAGAATGGGAGAAATACATTTTTTCCAAATCCAGATTTACTACAGGATCATTCTGTTCATGCTACCCCAAATATTTGTTTGCTGTTGTCATCATGAGAGAAGCGGGGCCAAGTTCAGCAGCAAAAGCACAGTAGATGTTTGAGCAGGATGGCACTGAAAATTAACTCACTTTCTCCTTTTCTCACTTCTAGAGCAGCCAACCTTTTTGCTGTATAAATACCCACCTTTCTCACCCCCTCTCCTGGTTTAGTGGGATGAAAGTTGAGTCATCTCTTAACCAATGAAATACAATAGTTATCAATTGCTCATTGTCAGATCTTGGGAGGCATTGCTATTGTGTACTCAGTGGTTATCTCTATGGAAAGAAATCCTTTATTTAAAAATTACAGAGATGAGGTCTTTTGAGCCAACCCCAAACCCACCATAATACATTTTGTAACAATGTAATGGTATCAGGCTTTTGAAGAAGTGGACTGTAATCCATGAAAGGTTGTACATGGGTACACATTTGTATGGCCTTCTAGATATTGCCGGACTAGCATTCCCAGGAGACCCCAGCTACCATGGCCAATAGTAAAGGATGATGGAAAGTGAAGTTCTACAAGGCCTGGAGGTGCACGTTACCACATGACTCTTGGTTGTTTGTGTTGTGATAGACTAACTAAGGCAACTGAATATTCCCCAAAAAGGAAAGACACACATAGGATATAGATAATGCCGGAATCATTCGATTCCAACATATTTCACAATATACAAGGACTGTCAGCCAAATGGGGTCACAAAGAACTTTGGAAAGCAAAGAACTCAGCAATTTTTCATCCTGAGCTGGCCTCTCTTTCTGGAGTTTGTTGCATATTTACTGGAAGCCAGCTATCCTAGCATAGTCAGAATAAGCAAATCCAAAACCCAGAAGCGCACAAGTTGCAGAAAGTCATGTTATTTGAGCAAATGAATAAATAGCAGCTCTTACCCTGTTGCCAAGAAAACTGCAGGGACTTGTCCAGGCAGTCGCCAGGAGTCAATGCTGACTCGCAGACGTACCCTGTAGCCTACACTTCTAAAGAGGTCACAGCTAACAACTCTTTCTAACAATGGCCCAGGTTTTCCTCCAGGGGGAGCACAATGACAACTGAGGAGCTGAACATGCCACCGGCACATCATCATGCTTTTTGTTCTGTTTGTTGTAATGTAGCAATGTTTGAGTAGATTTTGTTTTAATCTTTCAAAAAGTTCGGCTTATCAGATAAATGCATGCTATGATAGTCTAATGCTATGGTGGTTTTCCTTGGCACAGTTTAGCGCCCCTCCCCCCCCCATTCATACCAAGGGCTGCTGGCATAACATCCTCTCCAATCTGCTTTGCCATAGGGCTCTGGATAAGATATTTTCCTATCCTGTGTAGCAGCTGTTTGTTCTTAAGAACTTATATATAGATGTTGCTTCTTTGCTCCTTTAGGTACCAACCTCCCTAGCCCTCCTCTGCTGCTTTTCTAAGTTCACTGCTTTCCATTTTCTTGGAAAAGCTTAGCTTTCTTTTGCATGAGTGGTATTGGCATTGAACATTGGAGTTAATCAAGCTCAAAACTGTTTCCCCAGAATCTTTTATAATAACTGCAGATTCAACTTGCTAACACTTAGCATTCTGTTAACACATGTTACAACACTCTTATATTATTAAGTTGTACTGCAGAGAAACCACAGAAATAGAATGCATTCACGGATGTCAGCTGCAATGGTTGAATGCTGAAAATGAAGAGTAGCAAGTGAGAATCAAATGTAAGATTCATATTATCTTGTAATGCTTGCTTTATTTATAAATATCAAATTTCAGATACTGTATATGCATTGTACCTCTCTACACCCCCAAGAAGTTTAACTTTCAGCCAATTCATAGTTTTTTTATTTTTATTTTTTTCCTGTTTCTTCCTCCCATGATTCCAATCTGATATTCTGCCTTCTCCACCAGCTGGACTATGTTATTTTCATGAAATCCGATGGACATTACATTTCAGGATTCAAAATAGATTCCTAACTATCAGGAACATTAGCAGCAGTTGACACTTAGGTACAACAACCACAACAGGTCCATGAACAAGTCCTATACATTCACTACACAGTTATCAATCCTGAGCACATATTTTTGCACTTGATTGTTATTTACTCATCTCCCCCACCCCACCAGCTCTGTGTTTGTATAGCTGATACTAATAGCTCTGTACTGGCATTTCTATTTTGGTAGTTTCCCTCCTCTGCAGTACAACAGTAATATAATAATGCTATAAATTGCTGAACCACAGGTGTTAACTGAATGCTAAACATTTGCATCATTTCACGGGTAGTTTTTGTGAAGAACTCTGGGAAAATCGCTTTGAACTCTTAGCAAGTCAAAACCTACAAGAGTGAACCCACTTTTACAACAACGAGTGTATGCTGATCTATCATATCCACCCAGTTGCAGGGTCCTGCAAGTCAAACTGATATCACATCCACAGAATTTTAATTTTGCCTTTAAATAATGTGTAGTATCTCTTACCAACTGTATTTTCAGCTTCTTCACAGATGGAAGAATTGGTGTTACCTGACTATTAGAAAGAACATATATTGTTTTAGAGTAAAAGTATATCCTTTTCTTCTCTATCAGGTCACATATATTAGAGGCTGACTTGAAACAATTTTCATTTGAGGACCTGAGGGGTTCATTTGTGGGACAGCCTACTTCCATAAACAATGCACAATCACATCTACTGTACATACCACTGTTGGTGGAGATAGCAATTGTGTCTAGCTGTACTTCAAGAAAATCAAGATAAAGTACAATGGCACACCATATAACCAGACTGAGCAGAGTTTGGCCCCATTTTTAACAATAAGAAACAGCAGAAACAACTGTTCTCTGAAATAATATAAAAATGTTTACTGCATCATCTAAAAAACAGCTGTTGCTCATATATATTCAGAGAAAGGGAGATTGGATGATAACAAATTCAGGAAAAGTTGAAGTGGAAAGCTGTCGATTTTGTGATTTGTTGCCCATCTTATATCCTGTTATATCAAGTCTCTGTTCTTTCCAACAAATCAAAAAGGAAGGTTACTTAAAGATGAAAACTGATATGATCAACGCTATCTATGTTCATGATATTAATAAGATTTAGTCAAGTTTTCTTATCTTATATATAATCTTATATTTTCTGCTGTAAAAAGCCCCAAACTCCATATTGAGGAATCAGAAGTTACTTTTGGATATTCTGTCTATCATGCAGAGTAGGGGACATAGCATATCTTTGCTTCAAATAACCCTTTCAAGATGTGATCAGCTGCCTGCCTGGCTGCTCCCAGATCATGAGAATAATCGTCAGTGTTCCTAGGCAAAAATGCAGATGATTAGCCTGACTTGCTTGATCTCCCCAATCCTTCAAATATCTTTTGAGAAGCCTGCCCCTGGAACTTGGACTGGCTCACATCATCAGTGTCAGCCTTGGAGGTAGGCCAGACCAGGAAAACAACTCCACAAGTCCATATTTATTGAGATTGGCTATAGCAACAGAACCTTGAAAACCTGACTGCATTTTCCCTCCCTCCCTATACCTCAGGGAGGTAGGGTGGAGCCAGTCTGAGTCTCTTCCTAATGTTTTCCTTCTTTCTTTGACTTAAAGCATGTTTTTTTACAGGTTGTTGTAACTACTTGTGCATAGTTCCTCCAAGGTCATCGCTGTGACTGTTGATGATCAGAAAGGTGGACTCCCTTTCCCATTGCTGACCGCTGTACATTAAAGACAGGATTGTATTTATTTATTCATTTATTTATTTAAAAGATTTGTATGGCCACCCATCTTAAAGGGCAAAACCATAGAAACATAAAAACCATAGAAACATAAAACCATAAAAACAAAAAACAAAAACCTGACACCTCAGTCATCCCCTAGGGATGCCCCAACAACCACCCCAAGACACCCTCCCTCTCTGGGTAAAAAGCCAGGTCTTGATAGCCTTCTGGAAGGCTAAAAGGTTGGGGCCTGCCGGATTGCCAGAGGGAGGGTGTTCCATAAGGCAGGGGTAGCTACGGAAAAGGCACATTTCCAAGGACTGTAGATGGCAACATTTCAGGGAAAGGAGCTGGAGCATGCCTATCTGACCTGGTAGAACGAGCAGATACTTTCAGGGAGAGGCAGTCCTCCAAATAACCTGGTCCCGTGCTATATAGGGCTTTAAAGGTGATACCCAGCCCTTTGAATTGCACCTGGAAGGAAACTGGGAGCTAGGGCAGCTTGTGCAACAGAAGTGTAACTTGGGCGAACCTAGAAGCACCCAGCACTGTGCGCGCTGCTGTATTCTGGACCAGCTGTAGCTTTCAGGTGATCTTCAAGGACAGCCCCATGTAGAGCGCTTCCCAGGAGATTCTGATTTCAGATTCAGAATGAATTTGAGCTCCCTGCCAGTATCGCTGCCAGGGCTGAAAGGACCCTGGGCAATGTATGTGGGAGGTGGGGGGGGGGTACCTATATTCCTAGATGTTCCATTCCCAGCTTATCCCTCTCCCCCCTCTCCCTTCTTCCCCTTCCCCTCTCCTGACACTCTCTCGTCCTTCTTCTCCCTCTCTATGCCTGGCACACTCTCTGTCCTTTTTCCATCACCCCAAAGAAAACAATATTCCATGGCTCCTTTCTTTAATTTCTTTAACTTTTAAAAGGATTTGGTCCATTGCAGAGTGAAGTTACTGTTGAACCCAGCCCCTCTGTTTCTCTAGAAAGCATCTAAGGGAGTAGGCAGGGAGAAAGAGGAAAAAGAAAGGGGAGGGACAAGAGACTGCTGCAAAAAGATACAAGGGCTTCCAAAGTGAGAAGACTTTGGGGTATGCAGTCCTAATAGCTGCATACTATTATAACTTCTTCCTGTTAGAAAACATGGCTATAACATAATTTCCTATCTCCAGATGCCTTTATTCTCTCTCAGAGACCATGCGCTTGTGCCTGTCCTTGTAGTGTCTGAATTTCTGCAGTGCTCAGAACAGCCCAGAGCTATACTGCCTGAGCTTTTTCACTGTAATCTGAAGGGTTTGTGGATGGAAAGCTTCATTATCTGAAGTGCCTCAAGAATCTTGTGACTACCCAAGTATTTGCTGTATTGTTTGATGCCATATCAGGATGACAAAATATTCTTTTTAAGCCAGTTTGAGGAATATCGAATAATTATTCATTAGATGAATAAATCCTTCTTTAAAAATGATTGCATCATATTCAGTATTTAACCCTTCCATGTCTGCCACAGTATAAATGGTCTATTGTGCTACCCTTCAATTATTTACAGATATTCTGACTGGTAAGACCAAATACCTATAGAATGAAATGGAAGCTTATGAGGAAATTTAAATACTACTTGTGCAAGGAGGCAAACACGAAGAGTTGGAGAAAAACAACTATGCAGGGTTTTTTCCCCCATATTTGTCAGGCAGCATTAAGCAAGCTGTCAGATGGTAGATAAATTACACTGAACATAATGTCTTTATTCTACAGAGACAGTTAATCCAATTAAAAAACCTGTGCAAATCACTGCCAAGGATGCGGTATGGCATAGTAACCCAGCTTCCTGCCTAGGCTGCAGTGCATTTGTGGACCAGACCAAGATCCCCAAACTGAATGATGATCAGGACTCTCAAGAACAGTTCCTTGGCAAGTCTATGAAAGAGCTGAAGAAGCTAGCAAGGGAAGGCTGTTGGGCTAGAAGCCATACCCTGAGGGCAGAGGCTTACCAGCACATTATCCAAGAGATACCATGCCGGCTAATGACTCCTGATGCCTTTGTCTATAGAGATGTTGCCAGCAAGTTATTTGGAGACCAGAATGAAAGCTTCGATCCCTTGCCTGAATTCCTGGCAGGAAGCATCATGCCCGAATACTGCCTCACCCCAGAAGGGATAATGGCTCTGAAGAAAATACTTATCTGCATTTCCAATCTGTACCCTGATATCACTTACTGTCCTTTGCTCCCAGCTGTGACTGCCCTGATGCTCCATTATAGCCAAGACGAGACCCAATGCTTTGAGCTTACTTGCCGACTCCTCTCCTGCAAGGCTCCCCACACCTCCTATATAGACCACTCCTTCCTGGCTCATGAGGCCTCCTGTATGACCTTTGGGGACTTAGCCAATAAGCACTGCCCAGCTGCCCACCAATTGATAGCAAGTTCATCAGAGAACATCTTTGAGGTGTACTCTGAGTGGCTGGTATGGCTCTTTGATGATCTTCCCTTTAATTATGTCATTCGCATCTTTGATGTGTATCTCCTGGAGGGTCAAAAAGTCCTCTACCGCATTGCTCTGGCACTGCTGAGGCAATACCGGCTCTTTATGACATCAAGAGGACAAGAGGTGGTTGACATCAAAGGAAGCTTACAGGCTTTCCTATGGGACATTCATGAATACTTGGCAGCAGACAAGCTTTTAGAGAAAGCATTTGGCATCCGACTTTTCTCCCGCAAAGAAATCTGGCTTCTGCAAATGGCTAACAGGAAGGCTTTGGTGGATAAAGGAGTAACAATGGTGCACCACAGGTATAAAAACCTTCTTTACTATATTTTCAGGCATGTCATAACATTTCGAATTACTAGAGGCTGTACAATACAACTGGAAAACCAACACAACTGTTTAACTTCATGCAGAGTATTTTCCGCCTACCCTATCAATCACAGTAACATATGCCTTCACCCCATAGAGAGATCCTAGACTACAAGTCCCATAATTAGTCTGCTCTAAGCACCAGCAGTTCATAAAGGCTTCATAATGTATGTTGGATAATCCTGCCAGTAGTAGTGGCCAGGCTTGCACCTTTTAGAGAAAGCACAATAACAAATTTGACCCATGCTAGACTTGTACCAGCTTTGGAAAAAGTGTTGAAATAAGCAGAAGGATACATTAATCATAGCCTGGAAAGCAAATTGGTTTAGATTCCCATGCGTTTAAACAATCTCATATACAATAAAAGTTGGGACCTACAATTTCTGTATATGGTTTAAGCCTTACTGTGTTCTACATTGCTGAGATAGTATATCAGAACATAAGAGTAGTAAGTGTGGCTATTAAAACACTGGATGTCTGTCATTTTACACAGTAAAATTCATGTGTAAAACAGTCATAAAAATGGTGAGTCACACTTGATGGAAAAGAGTAAGGAAATACTGGAAATATTATAAAAATAGAGAAAAATGTATTTAAATCCTGAGAGAAGCTGTTATGTGGAATAAAGCATAAAGGACTTCGTTTTAGCCCTACTTCATTGCTAAGTCTGAATTATAGCACATGTGCTTCCAAAGCTCATTCCTGAGACAGCAGTTACTTTTCCATTAGACTATACAGAACTAATATAAAGATCAGACCCTTAGGCTTCAGGATCTGCCCCACACAAAGCTTGGGTGCTGCTCCCAGAATCCCTCCAGTAGCTGGAACTGAATAATCATATTAACAGTATTTAATTAATAACTGGAAGGCTGATATAAAAAAGTTCCCTATGAACTAAGACTAGTCACTCTGACTGTCTGCTGATGAACCCACCACATTCATTCATTCATTCATTCATTCATTCATTCATTCATTCATTCATTCATTCATTTATATGCCACTTTTATATAGCCATCCATCTCACACAAAGCGACTCTGGGCGGTGTACAACAATAGTAACATTCTTATCCTGTTCTCTGTTTTTATTCTTATTTTATTAGTAACATGTGTTTTACTTTGAACTCTGGTCTGTGACTGCAGTAAGTTATATCTAATTAATGGGTTTGTTCTGGTCCTGCCCCACTTCCTCCTGGCCTTGTCCACATTTTGGAGTATGGCTGCCAGCATGCCATTAAAGGTTGAGTGGCCTGAAAAAGTTTGGGGGGCACCAACAATGTAGCAGAACCTATCTGCCTTTCAGGTTGGTGGCTGTTCTTTTGAGTAGGACATATATGTGTGGGCAGTTTTCCAGATCAATGAGGTGGATATTTCTATCCATTGGCAGGATGTGTCGTGCTTAAAATCACCTCTAACATCAGATTAAGCATCAGGTCCTGAAACCCAAAAACTTTTATGATCTGTAAAATAAACTTAATTTCAGTGTTGGGGACAGTAGGCTGTCTAAGGTAGGTTATCTAGTTTATACATGTAGGTATATATGTGTGTGTGGGCGGGGGGAGGGAAGTATTTATAATATGACAGCTTTCATTGAAACAATGAGCAACCCTCTTAGGACAATTCTGCTCTGAAGAACCTATGATATCTTTTGCTTCGCCCAAACTATAAAATTCTACCCAGAAGGAATATGCATTTGTTAAGTGTAAAAAGAACAGGGAAAGCTGAGGACCAGCAGATCACATGCCCATCCTTGCTGTAAAATAAGTCCCAGTGTTTATAGCCATTCTGTATCCCACACCATGACAATTACAAGGTGTAATATATCAGCAGCTGTTCCTGCTGGTTCTGCTAGATAATTATTTGCAAAGAGTGCCCTCTCTATCCTAAAAGTCAATCTCTATGGAATTATAGTTTGATTAGAGCCTCTCCTTTTTTTTAATGTTGCACAGACAACCATTCCACCTCATTGTGAATGCACATAATTTTACTTCCACCATTGTTACGGCTCAGGAAATGCGCATTGTGTGGTCCTGGATCCCAGAACGATTTTCTTTATACTCACCGGTTCTCTTATTCTCAACGTCTGAAGATGGATACAGTTTGCAAAGGTAAGGCCATATTTTCAAAGCATGTCCAAAATAAGACACTCCTCAAAGCAAACAATAAACTGAACAAAGCTATAAAAGTTTAGATCAACTAAAGAATTAGCACAAGAAACCAAATAGAGCATTAGAAACAAAAGCATCATCTTTTATAAAGTGATACCATGGGGGGGGGGTAACCTTACAGAGATCATAAAATTACCATGTTTCAAGTGGCCAAAATCAAGCCACATGAAGGCTTAGTCGAGTATTCTAATGTGGTCACTATACTGATGTGCTTAAAAACTTAACACTTTAGATCAATTGTGGATGTTAAGTTTAATTTTTATCCATACAGTCCACTTAAGTGCTTATGATACTGACACTGCAATTGGTCTTGGCATGGCCAGTACTCACAATGAATAGACAAGGCAGTTCTTGATTCTCATAAAACAAAGCAGCGTAATGACCTTGGGAAGCTTACCGCAAAAAAATTAAAGATTGGGTTAACATTCAGAATAAGAATGATGGTTCCTGCACCTCTCTTACGTTCAACTAAGGGTTAAGAACTGTGTGATTCTTAAATGCCACCCCTCTTTTGCTGCTGACTCTAGTATTTGGGAACTCTTGATCTTTTGGAGTAGAAGTCTTGGATTTTAGCATAGCCAAAAAACTGCAGAAACTATGAGAGTGTATGAATCCAGTCTTTTAGGTACAAAAGCATAGAAAAGGATGCCAAGGTGACCGATTCATTACACTTGGGGGTTCTTAGCATAGTGTTGGTGGACTCCCAAGCTTGAGAATATGCCTATTAAGACTGTTGAGTGCTTCAGATTCAATCTCCAGAAAGTGCTTCACAGCATGCAGGTGCATGAACACGATATTTGTCTGCAACATCTTAAAACAGTTGTTCCAAAGCATTTCACAAAGATAAGATCCAAAGTGCTGCACAGCCTTAGTGTCTATCTCCTCTCTGTCTACTAAACAAATGATAGACCCTTGTGGAATCAGTATGGGCTATGAAACCTCCAAGCCATATGCTTTCCAATTTGGATATTGGAATATTTGCCCATCAGAAGTAATTTCCATGTTTCACAATAGTCTGCTGTAGAGTGCTCAGATGGTAGCATGGGTAAATTACTTTGGAAATGTACCCTTTGGCAGAAGAAGCAGTTAGAAAGCTGCCACTGAAATCAGTATCTCATTGCTTTCTTTTGAATGATCTTAATCAGCACGTATTAAGGACAAATGGGGAGAACAGAGAAAATGTAGGGGTAGGATCTTTAATAATTTCAGGTGCTTTGGAACTTTCAAGTTTGAAAAATATAAAATGAGACACACACACTAGCTGTGAGATATTTTTAAAAACAAGTAATATGGAGATTTACCACAACCAGCTCTTCAGCTGTTGGGTATTCTTCAGGATTTTATCTAGGGCAGCCTTCCTCAGCCATGTTGGTACCAAAGCTCCCAAAATTTCTGGAAAGCATCAGGTTAGAGAAAATTAATCTAAATTAATTATAACATAAGTTAGTCTAAAATTAATCTAAAAATAAAGCTCAAGAAGTTGATTATATTGGAGCATGTGCTCTGTATTTGTGTATAACTGTTTTACCCTTCTCCAACCTCAAAGTCTCCCAGAACGGCTTACAAGAGATTAGTAAAATGACAATAATCTCTAATTTCAGTTTTCAAATCTGAAACAGATGACACATAGGGCAAAGGGGGAGAGAGAGAGAAGAAAGAAGCAAGCAAGTAAGTCAAGGTCACCGTTCTTAAACCAGCATATTCTTGTTATGATCAGTTTCAAATTGAAATATTCAGGAAATAGCTACTGTTAGATGTGGGAAGGAAGGAGCTGACAGAACTGATCTCTCTTCCGAGTTAGTAGAACAACTTCCTCCCTTTTAGCCTGATGGGATGGACTTTTCCCGTGCTTAGGTTCTTATGAAGTAGCACTTCAAAGAAATTTCAGTGAAGCACCCCTTTGATGTAGCTCCACAAAGCAGCAGCTCCCCAGTTGTAGGCACATATCAGAACTGCCATGCCATGAAGAAATAGCCTCTTTTGTGGCTTTCAGCAATCTTCTGCAGATGTGAATCTCCACCAAAGCGAAGTAGCTCACCCTTACTGCTCTTGATTGGTGGTATCAAGGCAAAACACCTTGCCTCTTCACAAGAAACCACTGCCTTGAAGCAAATCACTCCAGTGATCATAGTAGAGATGGCTCAGTAAAAGGAAATGGTACTGTTCTGCACAGGCCTACCTCTTATGCTGCCATTCAGAAAGGAACCAGCTGGGAAGAGGGCAGAAGCCAATGAATGAATCAACAGTAGCAGTGCTTTGGGGGGTTGCCACCAAATTTGTAATTTCTTAGCCATGTTTTGAAAGTGCATTTGTGGAAGTGCCTGAAAAGACATGTCCTGGTAATGTCAGAAGACCCATTTAGGTGTGATTAATGTTTTGGAACCCGCCCCCCTCCCCCTCAAGGATCTTCTGTGCAGTTCACACATTCCATATAACCAACTGGCCATTTAGTCATGGAAAAGAAATGTGCCTTCAGCTGTTTTCTAGCCATTTTCCTATATGTATTTTCAAAATAGAAAGGAAATATTTAGAAATCCATGTACAGTGGAGTGGTACTTTAACAACAACCAGTTGTATTAGAAACAGCCCAAGGATATGATGGGAGAGGTGTGAAAAGTTCTCATGCCCTCTCGAAAGATGAATCTGACTAGAGATCCTTAATGGTGTGAACATTACAGCTTGGGGCATCCAATAGTCAAGGTACACCTACACTGAAAGTAACACTCTTTTTACAACCACAATTAAGCTGTGTGATTTCAAGCCTGGGAATCTATATCACGATCCTGCATGTGCCATGGAGATTATGATGCATTCAGGTTTTATGTGAGCAATTACCTGCTTCACTGAGCAAAAATTATGGCTTCCAAATGTCTCCTTTGCAGTTATTACACAACCATGAACAAAATTGTTTCATTATTGTTTGTAGATGTATGTATTGTGATTTTGTATTCTTCTCGCTACATTTTGTTGCTTTTTTGTTTTTTTGGAAGTTGCCCAGAATCACCTTGGTTGAACTTGGCGGCCACATAAAAGTTTTAAATAAAGACAGAAATACTGGTGTGACTGAAGGAATGGCTTTGCTAATCCTCTTTTATGGGTTTAACATAACAATAACTTGTTGGCAGTCATTACCAGCTGCTATTTCTGCTGGCATTTTATGTAGTCATGTCAAACCCAAAAGCAAGAGGTGCTCAAATATAATTCTCTGGAAGTCCAAAGGAGAAGAAGTTCTATACAGGTAGTCCTCATTTAATGACTGCTTCATTTAATGACCATTTGCAGTTATGACAGTGATGAAAAAGTAATTTTGCAACCAATCCTTGCATTTACAACTGTGCAGGTCTGTAAAGCAAAGGAAAGCTGAAATAAGATCATAAGCCCAGTCATGGTTTCACTTAGTGACCGCTTTGCTTAGTAACTGAGTCTCCAGTCCCAGTTGTGATCAGTAAACGAGGACTACCTGTATTTGTTTTGCAGAAGCCTTATTGGACTTACGCATGGAAAGCAAGAGTGACCTCTTGACCATAAGAAAAAAACCCAATCTTCATGTTAGAGCAATCTACTGAAGGTTCCAGGTTCAATTTTCTTCCTTTCAACATCAGCGATCTTAAAAATTCCCCCTCCTAACCCAGGCACATAAAGCATCATGAGGCTTAGTTCAAGGGCAGAAGAGGTGTGCCAGGGCAGAGGTGGGAACTCTGCTGCTATCCAAAAAGAGGAAACAGAGATGAAGAAAAGGAATGCTTAGCTCTAGTAGTGATAAAGCTCTTAGATAAATGAAAGGCTCATTACAGCAGTATCAGACAAGTAGTGCTTCCCAACATCTCAGCACCTTCGCATTCAAGTCAGTCCCACTAGGTAGACAAGACCAGAAAAGCAGCTCCACAGGAAGACTAGGACTATACTTTATTGAGATTGGCTATAATAACAGAATCTTGTAAATCTGATTTTTCTTTACCTCCCCTCCTTCTTATACTCCAGTGAATCAAGGAGGCATCTGTCTGAGCCACTTCCAAATATTACCAAATATTACCTTGTTTCCCAGGACTTAAATAATGTTTCAGCCCCCTTTGTCTATGGTAACAGTTCTTGCATATTTCCCTCAAAATCACCTCCCTTACTCTCTACATTTGGCTATATTACTCCTGGCAGAGATGTCCCTCTGTCCTGATTCAAAGGATGGTGTTCTGAGGACACCACAAGGAGCTTAAAGACAGTAGAATGGCATATAGAAGATCTGTAGCAGAAAAATCCTGTGTGAAAAATGGAATTTGTTTTATGGAGTACGTTAGTACATGGACCTGAGACAATGTAAAACACGCAAGGTAACTGGATAACTTCTATTTCAGAGCCTGCTTGGTTTCCACCTTGTTGTTTTTCTCGCTCCGGGCTTATTAATAAAGCACTAAGAATAACATGCTCCACTGTTCAATCCATCTCCATCTCAAAGCCATCAAGGAATTGCTTTCTCTGCCATTAGCAGGGGACTCATTTCATCCCATTTCTTTTGCTTCCTACAGGTTTTATTCCTGCTGTGAGGGCTCTGAACCAACTTTACTGTTGTTAAAAAACACACTGGGAGAAGTAAGTGATTTAGTTCTGAACATCTCAAAAAATTCTGGGCAGTGGGATCTTCCACCTATGGGGCTGTAACAAAACAAAAACTACCCAAAGCCACATGCAACACGTGTATTCTGGGCTAAAAACAAAATTCTGTGCTTAAACCACAAGCATGCATTCATTTATTTCTATGTAAAAAGGATGCATAACCCTCTCAAATGTTTACATGCTAAGATTTGTTAAATCAGGAATATTTTTTGAAAGAATGCTGATGGTGGAGGTAAATAGATGCCTGAGTCAGAATGGTGCCTAATGGAGGATGGAGGAAAGACATGGATTGAGAAATACAGGGAAAGATAAGAGGCTTCATAAAACAATCAGGAAGCTTTCACATATGACTGTTCTTTGGGGATTGTTAAAAAAATCATATTGATTGCCAAGACAAAGAATAATGTGGGGGGGGGGACCATTTAATCAATCAATAGAAACAAAGAAATGAATGTGCTCCTATCAGAGCCACTTTCAAAGTTAATAATTCGTATACTGTATATCTATTTTCTGCCGGGGAAGCATTACAAGGACTGTTTCACCAAGTCTGCCACCAACTGTGAGCACCAACTACTCAGTAGGGAATTGCAGGCAATTCTTATATGACACACATTTCTTTTTGATTACAACTTTATATGGATAGGTGTACATCTCAGTCTCAAATATACACTTAGAAGCATAACACCTGGGCAGATTCTAAGTTTAGTTAGCTTCCAACTAAATTTACAGTATGAACATTACAATGCTGGGTTACTGAGAAGAGACTGTTTCAGGTAAAGAGCCTTGTCTCTGAACCTTCTCTCAGTGCGCATTGCCTGACATCTGTTTATGTCTTTTGGATGCCAGAGAAAGACCTGATTTTGTTTTGCAAGACTTTTCATCTCCAGTGTTGTTTTATGCTGCTGCCTTCAACTGCGCAGCTATTTATAGTCTTTGGTTATGCATTTTACTGATCGTTTTTTAAGCCTTTGTTGCCTGGAATTTTATGTATCCTTTACTTTGTAAGTCACAGTGGAAACATGTGTTACTGAATGATGGAGCAAAACTTCAGTGGATTAACTTGCTCATAACTGCTGCCCTTAAACTCTGTATCCATCAAAGGGGGATATCACATCCTTATGCCTAATGTCTGCTCCAGGGTGCTCTCATAAAGTAAGTGGAAGATGGTGATAACATGTTATTAAATTGCATCTCCACATTTCTTGATGGGCGACCCTATCTCTTCACTGGATTGTTTGAATACAGTAAGAGTTAAAGAAGCAGGCTTCTGTGATCAGACATTTTCTTGTGTCTTTTTGATCATCACAAAACTTTATGCAGTGCTCACATCTTACTGTCTCCCGTTCAGGTGTGTGGAGCATTTCTTTCCTCTGACTGGAATGAAAGGAAAAAAAGTGGAGGAGCAACAAGCTTCTTTGGCACAGGAGAATGTTTTATTTTCACAGTAAGTTTAACTTACTTCCATGGTGGAGAATATATCGGTTTTATGAGTACTTTCTTTCAGTTCTTTTTGTACATTGGTCAGACTGATCTAAATTTGACCACCAATACTAACCCCTCCCCAAGTGTATGATGAAAATTAGGAAATAGAACTCACATGCATTTTTGGACTTCAGGTGAGCCCTAAGTCGGCAAAGAACAAAAGCTGTTTCATTATTCCAAAATAAAACTGTGTCCCTGAACATCAACTCAGTCTGCCCCCTACCAACATTACTGCATTGGATTTTTCTATAGTCACCTCCTGTTAAGTGCAGTAGGGTACATGTTACATAGCCCTCCTTACATACATAGAAATTGCTTGGCCCACTTCACTAGCTACTAACCTAGTTGATTCTCCTGAATCCATAATACTTTAGTATGTGGTGGGGAGGAGCAATTATAATGTTCCAACCTTGAAACAGGCCATTCTGACCAATTTAAGCTAAAATTTAAATATTAACTAAAATTGCAATTACATGCAAATATAAATGAAACAGAAACAATTCTATTTTTTGTCTGATCTGTGCTCTCTTCTTGGGAAAGGGCCCTCTACATTCTACCTAAAGACCCACTTCTCTGCCTAAGACTCACTAACCACATGCTGATACCAAGATCTCAATCAAAGTCTTGCATTAAGAGGCCATGTCTTAACAAGACAGAGAACAGTGTTTTTGAATGATGTTTTCAGCAGCAAGGGCCACAGGGGATGTGACAATGATGCAAGGTTGGAATTTTTGGATAAAGTAAAATGGGTCACTATATATATTTGATAACCCTAAACCATGCTATGGTATGCCATCAAAATTTGGTGGTGTAACATCAAGGGGCCAAGTGCAACGTATAGACCGTGCATATCTACTTTAGTGCTTCCTATTCTTGTGCTGTGCTTGCCAAATGTACTATATGATATTCACAGTTAGGATATCTGTTAGGGTTTTTCTTAATCTGGTATACATCACAGACACAAAGGCTGCATTTGTTTTTTCCCACAAAAAGTGTTTTATTATACAAAATTAAACTCCTATTCCTTACTTCTAATCTTAATGCTAATTCTATGCTTGTTTCTATTTTCCTAAGTCTTCCTATTACTATAAGTTTACAATTATTTCCATCTTATTTAACCTATAAATGTCTCTCTCTATATTCTTTTTGATGTTCCTATCTCTATGTTTGTAGTGCTATGTTTTCCTATCTTAACTATTTCTTAGCTCTTTAAACCTTACTTTTTCCTCAGGTCTTCAGCTCTTGTAGCCAGTCTCAGTCCATTGCATGTGAAAACCCATTTGCTCCTCTCTCTAGACTCATGATGGACTTTTCTTTCCCCAACACTCACAGTCCTCTCTTTCTGGAGCTGGTTTGCAGAGCTCTGAATCTGGGCTGCTGCATGCAGTGGGCTTGCTTGGGTTTGCAGACGCTGGCCAGGCTCTTTTCCTCCTCCATCTCTCAGCCAGTCTTGCAGCTCCAAGAATTGCAGTTTTCTTTTGCTGTCTGAAGACTGCTGCTAAGGTGCTTGCCTTTGTGTCAGAGGTTTCTCTTTCCCACTTCTCTGATATCTTCCTGGCTTGATTCCTTTCTCGCCTGACCCACACCCCTGCTTGATTTCTGATCTATTTTATGGGATGAACGGTCCAATTAAGGAAAGGGTTGGGGGTTTTTAACTGTCCTTTTCAGGCAACAAACTCTGGATCCCAGGAGGGAAAAGAAATGCTTGCTCGCTCTGGGTGGTGAGTTCATTCTTCCACAACATCCCTGACTGAAGTTGTCTTTTCCTGAAAGGTCCATCCTGAAATGGAGCGATATGAATGGGTGTTCATCAAGAAGCCAGAACAAGTTAAAGCTCTACCTTGCTCCCAACGCCAGCGTTCTCCATCTCCCTTTTCTCTGGAGGGTCACAGAACAACCAGCTCAAACCACCTCACTGTACCAAAGTTAGAAACAATTAAATACCGTCTCTCTCCTTTCCTGGCAATTAGACACTTCAAGTTGCCTTCCAAAACAGCCTCCATGTTTATGTCTGGAAGCCAGGAAGGAATTATCATAGGTAATTATGAAACTACAACATTGTGGATAATGTGTAGATCTAAGTACTATACAAATTTCTGGCACCCCCTGCCCATAATCCCCAGCCCAAATGTTCTTTAGATGCTGCTTATTTAAGAGAAAAATTCAGCCACAGCTGAAATGGGATGATCGCAATCCATATCTTGGGGTAGGAAGGACACATAGGAGAAGGCCAATATAGTAAATGGTCAAGATGAATTTTTGGCAAGGTTGTCCTACCAAAGCATATGAAGGGGAAATATTCATGTGGAAGCAGTTATATAATAATAATCATCTCAATATGTTAACAAGCGGGACTTGTAACAAAACCCTTTGTTCCAGGTGTATTGCTACATTTGCTTTTTTTCTGTTTTCTCTTTTTCCTTCTTCCTCAATCTGTTACTTTCCTTCCACCTGTCTCCTCTGTGTACCTTGTTCTTGACTACTTTTCTCACTCCTCCACAACATCTCACACACTTGGCCTTGTTTTTTTCCTCTCGCTCCTAGCTCTTGCTTCCACCTACTCCCTTTCATCTAGCATTGAACCAGCATGTTTGTCTGGAAATCTAAACATAGCTAATATTGCAAGTTACTTGGCTGACTTCTGACTATTTTAAATGCTTCTAAAATATTTCTACTACTCTCATCTTGCTCTTTAAGGGACCCACTTTGCTTATCGATTTGCTAGCAGGCCCTACCTGAATTCAGCATTAGAAGAAGGGAAAGCAAACGAAGACCCTTTCCAGATGTGAGAACAGTGTAAATCTTCTCTGGGACTTGGAAGCTAAGCCTATCTCTCAGCCTAGCTCCTGCTCCAGAGGAAACGAAGCAAAGCTTTTTTTTTTTTTTTTGTTAGGTGCCTGGTGGTTTCTTATGGGCTGGAACTCCCACCTTGCTCCTTGTCTCACCTTCCAGATCCTGGGATCCTCTTTCTTGGTAAATGACAACGTGCCATCATGCTTGGCCCACTGTCTCCTGTCTCTTGGAAGCTAAGCCTATCTCTCAGCCTAGCTCCTGCTCCAGAGGAAACGAAGCAAAGCTTTTTTTTTTTTTTTTGTTAGGTGCCTGGTGGTTTCTTATGGGCTGGAACTCCCACCTTGCACCTTGTCTCACCTTCCAGATCCTGGGATCCTCTTTCTTGGTAAATGACAAAGTGCCATCATGCTTGGCCCACTGTCTCCTGTCTTCTACGGTTTTACCAAGAGCTGGCTTTGCCAGGCTGCCTCTTGTTCAGCAGCCAGTCTATTTTCCTTGCTGTGAAAAGTAAGTGTGGCAAGGAAGCAGCAAAAAGGGGCACTGGTCAACACAAGGAGGGGAAGGTGAAACACTTGCTGAGCACACACAGGGGCATGAAATTGCTGCTTATAGTAGGGCCAGCAAAAATAGTGGTCACATGAAAGAGGTTTACCTCAAGTCTCATAAAATTTGAATTTTCAAATAGAAAAGAAGTTTAAAAACATAATTCAATGAGAATTAACTAAGTTCAGTCTTTTCTGTAAGAAGTGGGTTGTTTTGAGTTTCACTGAAAAATTAAGCCGCTAATCAGTATATAATGTTGAGATCTTACTACCCCAGAATTGAAAGAACAGGGCCCAGCGGCAGCTATTTTATGAGTTCAGTTCATGAATTGACTTTAGCTTTTCAAGTTCCAAATGCCCTTGGATCTGGCTAGCTACAGAGCATCTTTTGGAACCAGTCCAGTTATCTCCTTGCAGGATGTTGGTGCTCACAAGGGCATAGCACTCTCCTGCAATCCCCCTAAGTTGGATTCATATATCATATTAAGCCACAGTATGATTTAGTTGGCTTTGATAAACCTGCCCCATTGTAGTTTGTTACGAACACTGTCCCTAACTGTGAAAGGTATCTACGTCTCTTGAGTTTTAAAATTCATTTTCAAACACTTTTTAAAAACTTGGCTTTGTAGTTCTACCATTGTTTTAATGTTTTAGGATGATTCTATAAAGTGTTGCTTTATTTATATTTAATTTGATTTGTGGGTGACTTCATAGAAAGATGGTATATAGATAGCTGTAGGTAATTACAGATATATAGGAGGAGACGGATAGTTTTGTTGTGTTAAGGATTAGCTGAAATCCTTAACCAAAGTGCAGGCAAGAAGCCGTTCACTGACATCAGGCAAAGCTCTAAGAAGTAACAGACAACATACACATAAATCCATTTACTAGCTTAGCAGGGATGGTATAATAATCCTTGGTTGCTTACATTCAGCAATAAACCCACTGTGTGCATTGCAAAATAAGGCCCTGATAAAGACAGAGAACTTTGTGCTCATAGATGATGCGGTGCTGTTGGTCACTGATCGGCTGTTCAGCAGGACATACAGCCAGAGGATGCTCTACTGTTGACGGCAGCCACAAGGAGGCAACAGTACGCAGCCATATTAGCAAAGATAATATCAAAACTGTATCATGTATAATATACAAACACATGCCTAGCCAGTTCATCTTCAATCTTCAGTCTAAACTGTTTAGATGCAAGTAACAGGAAAAGAGAGCAATGGGCGGTATCTAAAACTCTGTTCCATAATGTGGTGAGAAAAATGTCTTAACAAGCCATGTTGATTTTTCCTAGGGGGAGGTGGAGGCCAGGCTCTGTATATTGATGCTAATCTGAATCATGGAAGAACAGAACACTGTGAAACGTTTGACAACCCTCCTCTCTGCCAGCAAAACTTCCAGGTGCAGCTGCTAGAAGTTTGGGGATTTCAAACCTCCTGATCCTCCCTTTCCTCCATGTGATGGAAACCTTTCACTGAGATTCCTCTCCAAAGCACTGCATATCATCAGGGGATGACTGAGAGTTGGATATGCAAGAAGCAAGAATAGATCTTTAAATATTTTGAGTAATTGTCCATTATTACAGTCTTTTTGGCCAGAATCTCTGGAGCGTAACAAAAGATACTAGATGATTTATATTTACCCTCAACTGTTCTACTTGGACTTCTGAAAGGATTAATTTTGAAAAAAAAAATGGAATTGCCATTGATCATATGCCTACTTACTCTGATTATTAGACAAAACATATGAAGTCAGAGGTTATCCAGAAATTTTAATATGTGGATGGTATGTGCAGAAATGGTCCCATGAGAGAACTAAAGAAGGGCTGAATTTAGGTATCAAATTGGCAGAACAGTTCCGAGATATACCTTGGCAACTGGCGCTCACTGGGACTAATAGAGTAAAGGGAAGGGAGACCAACAGTAGCAGTCGATTGATTTTAGTTTTGTTTCCATCTCCTTCACTGGTGAAAAAACTGAAGACACTTGAACACTGCAGTACAATTCTAGTAATGGGAACATTACTAGAAAATTGCCAATGTTTCCTCAACTGTTCATTTTTGCACTTATTTTAAAATGTGACACTGGGAAATAAGGGACAATAGTATTATGATATTTGCCTTTTATGAACTTGTTCTGCATACCTGTGCAACCCTGAGTCTGTGCTGTACACTCAAGATCTTATCCCTATTGTCACAACAAGACTTCAGAATGCCTTCAAGGTGCCAGAGAACTTCTTACAAAGGAACTAAGACAACTACTGAATAGGCTACTTTTTTGACTAAATGCTTTTCATTAGTATGGTCCCTAAGCATCACATTTCACGTGTTTTACATTAAGAAATGTCAGTAAAAGATTTCCTGTAAAAAAGAATGGAACTTTCCTTTCATGAGTTAATGCTTTTATATAAGAAATGAACATAGCACAGCCAGTCTGCCCAATTCACCTGCTTTAAAGATGAAAGAAAGTAGAATTGTCTTTGGTCTTCAGCTGATATTTCAGTTTCCTTTCAGGCTTCAACAATGAATAAATGTTGCTGAACAAACATGGCTCTTGTCATCAAAGCTGTGCATTTAAAAGAAAGAGCAGTATAGTATGCCTGCCAACTGACACTTGCAAACATCATTGGTATTCAAAATATAATAGCAGTGTATACAAGACTATTAAAGTAAATGCACAGAACATGTTGACTGTGTTGAGGAACATGACCTATAATAAGTTTTAGAGTCTATCCAATAAAACAGTGCTTTGTGGCACCACAAACAGAATGTGGCACCAAAGGAAAGTCAATTCTAGACCGTGAAAGTTTATTCCATAATAAATGGCTTAGTCTTTCAGCAGCGACAGGAATCTTTCCTGTTTGTTTGTTTGTTTGTTTTACCCCTGGAAGATTTGTTTGCTGTCTATTTTTATTTTTCAAATTGTAGCTCTTGTTCTTGTGCCTACTTTTGCCATTTACTGAGCACATAACTGATCAATACATCCCAAGGTGACATTTTCAGGAAAGCTGTAACAATACAGGAGAAAATGAACTATAACAATGTTGCAGTCTGTCTAGTCATAACTAAAGTCATGAAGACTTCATTGTTGTTAAGACTTTCATCCAGTGATAACTATTAATAGAGGAAATCCATCAAATGTGGTCTAGAGGAGAGCTCCAGGACAATATCCCAATAAAGCATCCATTCCAGTTCACCTCTGCAAGTAGTGGCCATGATCTCAATATGGTCATCCTTGAGCAGAAGATTACAAAGATCATTAAATTGCAAAACAGCTAAGCAGAAATCCACTGGGTGTGTTCACATAACAGGCTTATTTTAGTAACTGAATTAACCAATTTTCTGAGTTTGCATGATATGTTGAATTATACACTAACCAGACAAGTTTACACAATACATTGTCACACATTGACATCAAGATTAACACTACCAAAATTAGCATATTATGCAAATGCAGCCAATAAATCTTTATGTGACTGTTTAAATGTGCTGTGGGAACGTAGCTGCTACTTCCCAACACTTAAATCAGGAATATTTTGGGTTGAGAGTTTTAACTTGGCATTTTGAGTATCATTCCAGGTACTGGTCCAAAAAAATGTGGCCAGAACCAAAACAAAGAATTAAATTAATGCTTACAATTTTTCCATGTATTTATGTAATTCATGTAACTGTTCTTCTCTCCTGTCATATTAAAAATTACAATTTTTGTTGCATATTTACTATTTTCTCTATATTTGTCAGTTTCAGTCCCCACCACCATCACCCTAATGGAATAAGGGACTAGCTGTCCAACAGCTACTCAGAACTGAACTCATTGAATAAGCATGGCAGGATCTGCCTCTTTCCTCTCTAAGGCCAGATCTGCTCTGGTGTCTTCCCAGTTGTTTCATTCTTTCACATTATTTTAGGTTTGCAGTTATCAAAATGGAGGATGGGAGGAGGGGACATTAACCAAGCTAAAAGAACATAGGCACAGCCAGTGGCATACCTAGCATATTTGACATCTGGAACGGATCATTTTTTAACACACACACAAACTCACCTCTTCATTGCTGACAGCCACTTTGGTGTAGTGGTTAAGGCTTCAGACTAGAAACCAGGAGATGGAGTTCTATTCCTGCATTAGCCACAAAGCCAGCTGGATGATCTTGGGCTAGTCACTTCTCTCATCCCTAGGAAGGAGCTGGCAAGCCACTTCTGAAAAATGCTGCCAAGAAAGTACAGGGGGTAGTTGTCAGGAATCAAAACTGACTTGAAGACACAATTTTTTTCCTCCATCACTGCTGTGCTGCTGCTGACTGCCAAACACCTGATCAGCATGTGGGGAGCAGCAACCCAAGACCATACTCACTTCTAATGTCTAACTGCTGTCTTTGGCAGCACTGCCCCCCCTTACTGCCTCCAGCCAGGGCAGAGTCCTGAAGTGAGACCCATTCCATTCCTTTGGCACTGCCCTGGAAGGTGAATGTTCCCCTTTCTTCCTGTTAACATGTTAAAAAGAGATGGAAGCAAAACCAGGAGAGAAAAATCAATTAGCTTGCCTGTAACAATAAGGATAAGGGTAAGAATATTCAGTGACTTAGAACAGAGGCAGTAGAAGGAGGATAGGGATCGGTAATGTGGACAACAAATTTAATGTGGACTCCACCATTTTGTGCTGACACAAGGATGGGTGGGTAGCCCTTTAATTCAGTGATAGGGGAAGGCTCTAAATGGCCTTAATTATGTCCTCACAATGAATGCTTGGGAACTAATATGCTATATGGATCTTTCCAAATGCACAGTATTGGCCCCTTCTGTAGGCTGGCTGATGAGTGATTTTGAAAGAAATATGGCTGTGTTTTTGGAAAGTTCAGAAACATTTTCTAAATTAAAATGCCTGGTTGGTAGCAGCAACATTTTTTTAACTTGGTGTGCACTGAGCTCAGACAGGTTGGGCCAACTCTTGAACAGTGAGAAACCTAAGCAATGCCTGCTGTCTTATTGTGAAGGAGGCCCCTTACCCTTAGCCACCCCCCTTCCATGCCATGATCACCACTTCATGCTTTCTTGTTCCTCCTCCTCCTCCTCCTCCTCCTCCTCCTCC